TACCAGCAGTAAACTTTCTTAAAAATGATAAAGTTGAAAACAACATATTCTTTAAACCCGTAACAAAAAATGAAGTAACTATTTTAATAAGCAAATTAAAAAATAGCTCTGCACCTGGTCCAGATAAATTAACAGCAACTACAATAAAAAATATAAATGAATATATTATTCTTCCTGTAACGCATATCCTTACTATTTGCTTTCAATCAGGAAAAATTCCAAGTCAATGGATGGAATCAATTGTCACACTTGTATACAAATCCGGAGACCCTAGTGAGCTTACAAATTATAGGCCAATTTCTGTTATCAACAACTTCGCTAAAATTTTTGAAAATGCAGTAAAAAGTAGATTAATTATTTTTTTTCATAATCATAATGTTATTACAGATTGTCAATACGGTTTTATACAAAACTCAAGCACTGAAAATGCGGTAGTTGATTTTTTGGAAAAGACGGTTAACGCTGTAGATGAATCATTAAAATGTGCTGCAGTATTTCTTGATTTGGCCAAAGCATTTGATACCGTTTCCCATAACATTTTACTTGACAAACTAAATAACTATGGCATACGGGGTTTAGCATTAAGGCTCCTGAGGGATTATTTATCTAATAGAACCCAGAGCGTAAAAATTGGCAACACCGGAAGTTCTAAATCAGTAGTAAAGATGGGGGTCCCACAAGGAACAGTATTGGGCCCAATTCTGTTTCTGGTTTATATGAACAACATTACACAAATTAATAACTTATCTAGGAATATCATATGCTATGCGGATGATACGGTAATTATTTTCGCTGGAAAAGAATAGGAAGAGGTTAAACTCGCTGGAGAAACGGCCCTAAGAAAGATAAGTTTATGGTTAAATAACAATCTACTAACTTTAAATGTATTGAAAACAAAATGCATTACTTTTAGTTCAACCATCGTTAATCAACCTAACAGCTTTTGTATAAAATTGCATAGTAGTGACTGTCAAAAAAGCGATTGTAAGTGCCCCTTGATAGAAAAAGTTTCTCAAATTAAATACCTAGGTGTAATACTTGATCAATACATACGGTGGTCTGAGCATATTGTCCATGTTAGTAATAGACTGAGAGCCCTAATGCACAAATTTTATGTTCTCCGGGACATTCTTTCAAAGAAAAATATATTGATACTTTATAACTCCCTAGTGGAATCTATATTAAGGTATTGCATAGTAGCATGGGGTGGAGCATTTAACACCACTATTAAAATTGTAGAGACAACACAAAATATTATTTTAAAAATTATCCTAAAAAAAGAGAGACTATTTTCTACAAATAAATTGTACGATGAATCGAACATACTAAACGTCAAATTACTCTTTGCTTATCAATGTATAATGAAAATATATACCAATGCTGAAAATTTTACTCAAAAAAATACCCGCTTAACACGCTCAGTCGCTAATATGGAGATTCCTGTACAATTTTTCAAAAAATCACTTAGTCAAAGGTCATTATCATTCTTTGGCCCAAAATTTTTTAACATAATTCCGATACACCTAAAAAAATATTTAATAACAAACAAAAAAAAAATTTACGATCTAATGATAACATATTATAAATAAAAAACATATTAAAAGCCAAAAGGACCATCTTAGTTTTTGTCTACTTTTCCTAAGGTACTGTCTCTTGTTTATTTATCTTTTTATTTATCGGTTTATTCTGTCGAATTTCTTCGTCCCTTGTTCTAATTTTTAAATATTGTATCTTTTGTTAAGTAATAAATAATTATATGTAAAATTTAATACCTGTCTCAGGCAGAAATGCCTAGGTTCGATGCTCAATCAGATGTCTTTAAAGAATTTTTTTTTTCTGTATAACTATTTTTTTACTATTAGGTAATGTACTTTAATATTTAAACAAATAAATTTGATTTGATTTGATATAAAATACTAAGTTAACGAATAGTGGTGTTAAAACTGGTTTATTGTATATATAGAGTGTTTTGAAACTTATCTTAAATATGGCTAATTTTAAGTTTAATTTACGCAATTTTTTCCAATGCATCACCCTGTATATTATTTTAGCATAAAATTTTGTATGAATTTACCTATTCAACGATATCAACAAATTAGCCAATAACACATATACAGGGTGTGCCATCAGTGCCTAATTGATCTATAGCTGTTTTATTATTGCAAATGAGAAAAAAAAATAATTTAAAAGTTGTATGACCATATTTAACAATTATTTTTAAATATACAGGGTGGTCCATAAATGAGAGGCTGACCAAACCTATACATTTTTAAAACAAAACACTCTGCAGGTAGTTATTTGATTGTGTTCATATCATTAAACAATTTTAATTGACTTCAATTATTTGCTACGTTGTACATAAGGTGTGTCAAAACGCAAGGTTACGACTTTTTCAATTTATATGGAATATCCTTTATGTTATACCATTGTTATATATTAAGTCGTAAAGTCGCGTTTTGACATACCCTTTATACAACATAGCAAATGAATGAAGTCAATTAAAATTAGTTGATAATGTGAAAACAATCAAATATGTATAACTAGCTGCAGGGTGTAGTTGTTTCAGAAAAAAAAAACAATAAAGCGAGGCACTTTACTGACTTTGCTCCAACAAATAGCAATTTTTACTTTCCTATCTGTATACAGATAAGGAAAGTATAGAAAGAAAATCACCAAATTTTAAACTTAAGCTTTATTCCGGCCTGCGGTGAACTGATTAAATTTTGGGCAGAGTCGGAACACCTGAGGGGGTAGTTTATAGAGGGTCAGTTTTATATTTTATAAAATATATATTATTCTCTATAATTTTTGTTCTTTACAAAATTTTCCTACAATGGTCCATATTCGAGAAATTTGACAAAATGTAAAAAAATCAAATTTTTATGAAAATTATTAAAATAAAAGTTGTTTGTGATATAATTTTCTATAATTTTTGTCCTATACACAGTTTCTCTAAAATGGACCGGTAAGTTTTAGGATAGTACCTCTGTTGTAAAGTTATTTCAAAGCCATCCTTTTAAGATGTAGAGAACAAATACATGCTAAACTATATAAAAAATAAAACACAAGATATTACACAAAATTTTATTATTCAAAATAAATAAAAACATACAAATGAAGTGAATAATACCTACCAACAATTTAAAAAGTCCTAAAATAAATAGACTTAGAGGACTGGAGCCCTAAAAAAGGGAGTCACAATTTGTTTTGCATCCTCATCTATAAGAAAATTGTGTTCATCTTTTTATATTAATTTTTAATACAAACCAAACCAAAATAGCACAAAATTGAAAGTGATTTACTTTTCAAGACGTATTCCATGTACATGTGAGATTATTAACTAATTAAAAAATCTGGACCTTTTATAATAAAAATGTCATTTAAAGAAAAACGGTGATATTTTTTTTCTAAAAGCCTTGGTTTCTTTGAACACTCCGTCGTGGTGAGCGGACAGTCCGTCGACCGCTGAGGACAGCAATTTTCGCCCGAGGTGGTTTGTTAAAAAATATAGAAAATGATACTTTCTCTATGTCTGTACGTGCTGTTTATGTATTATGAATGTTAACGAAAGGTACTAAAATGGATGCAAATAAATTGTTTGCATTGTTATTATTGTTGGAAGAGGAAGAACAAGAGGAACTGGCAATTGCAACCGTCAAAGTTTCCAATAAGCCAGTGCATGAGTTGTTTTTGTGTCGCGATACAGAAGGTGCCTTTAATATCACTGTGCAGCGGAGGCTTTTTGGAAATGAAATCAAATTTAGGGAGTATTTTAGACTTTCTATAGATCTTTTTAAATTCGTGTTGAGTTTTATAAAGGACATAAATTCCAAGAAACCTAAAAATAAAGTCATGATGTCATCTGTATGTGTGAATTTGTCACTCATTGTTTTAAAATTAATAACAATATAGTCTCCGCACACGCCGACGATTCCGCTGATATCAAACTCAACAGATATCAACCGACTCTTCGCGACAAATCAGCGGCATGACGCCGTCCTGTTCAGCTAAGCGGATTCAAGAAAACCATTCCCATTTAAATACTCTGGTTGGATAAAATCGTCAAAACGCGACGGTTGACGGACTGTCCGCTCACCGCGACGAAGTGTTCAAAGAAACCAAGGCTTAAATTGGAAGGCCTGGCGGAAAAAATGCCGTCCAAGATGGACGCCTATGTCGCGACGTGGTCGCGACCCCGTTAGATATAGCTACCAGCCCTGGGTTTATATCTAGTTTGTGTTTCTTTGAACCCTCTATATGGGAACTTTTAATTGTGTAGATCCCATCATAAATTATTTGTAGATAAATGTAAAATTATTTATTGTAGATAAAAATGGATGACATGGTAAAAATATATGTCATAATGATAATAAATAGATCCGTGGTAACAGATGTTGCTATGGAAGTGAGTTTAACTTTCATCAAGGCTGCCACATAATGAAGGTGTCCGAAAATAGGTGTACGAATGTATGTAGTGCAATCGAGGCACTACACTCTAATTTTAATTTTCTCACTTTTATATTGCTTTTCGATTTCTTGATAACAGGCTCTCAAATATGAGTTTTAACTTTTACCTTCTACCATATATTATGTCTGATTCGTGTTGTTAGTTCTTTAATGCCTTACCAGCACCGACGTGACATTCTGGTTTTGCTGAGTTTCGGTAGCTCTTATAATATTGGTTCTTGCATTTTGCAAAATTGCGTAAACATCTGTCAGTAATTTTAGTTAAAGCTGCTGTTTGGTTAGACACTACCTATATTTAATAACTATATAAGTATTTTTTTGTGTAGTTTAGGTAGGTGTTTCATGTTTAATGGTGTTTTGAGCAGTTCTAAAAAACATTGGTAGTCGAAACTTCGAAAATTCCTACATGAAACAAAATATGTACTTCTAAATTTATCTTTTTATTATATTTATAAAGCACTACGTTTTCTTTCGCTTTATTTATTTGTCGACGTTGAAATAATAGATACGAAACTCCTAACACTTTATTTGCAGTAAAACTGGAATAAAATGATTGGCTACATCCAACAGGATTTCAGCAAAGAGCGCCTGAAAGTAGATTTCATAACCTTGAACTTTGCAGTTGCAAAATCGATGGATTCAAAACCTAACCTATCATAGTAACCGAATTACAAATTTTTTTCTCGTTCGAATCAAGCAGGTAGTTTTCAGAATTAGAAAATTAAATATTTAATTTGACAACTAGCAATTTAAAAATAGCGCCAAGTTCATCTCATCGATACAACACGCTGCGTAAATTTAGCACACATTTGTCGCGCGTGTACGGGTTTTACTCGCACCGTTTTCCTTGGAAAAACTCTTTAAAAAATATGCAATATGTATTATTGTCGAGTGGTTGTGAAATGCCCATTGTGGGCCTTGGAACGTGGAAAACTGAACCACAAGAAATTGAAGAAGCTGTTCAATTAGCTCTGGAAAACGGATACAGACATATTGGTAAATGATTTAAGTTATTGTAATCTCATATTTTTTTAGGTAGTTATTTTACAATTGAGTTACAGTAGATACAAAAATTCATACATAATCATACGAGGGCTAGTTCTCTTTCTATTGAGCATAGTAAAGTAAAACACGCTTTATTTATAAAAAAAACATTTATAATATTTGAAAGTTTTCTCCTCCACTGTCAATCCATTTCTGGGGTCCGTATAAGATTAAGAGTGTCGGAATTAAAAGAAAATTATTGCAATCAAAAGTACTCATTTTATATAGTAAATACCTAAAAAAAAAAATTGCGGAGGGTCCGTATAAGATTAAGAGTGTCGGAATTAAAAGAAAAAAATTGCAATAAAAAGTACTCATTTTATATAGTAAATACCTAAAAAAAAATTTGCGGAAAATCCACAAAATTTTGAGAAAAATGAATTAAAAGTTGTAATTTTATAGGTTATTTTGGTTTTATCATACTATTATGTAGGTGACAATTTCGAAGTTTTAATGATATTATAATTGAAGTAACTTACTTTTGTTACATTTTAACTGAAATTAGATATCTATGGAAAATTATTTAGCATTTGCTAATTTAATTTATATTAAAATTAAATGCATTGTATTGTCTGTTTAACCATTTACTTCCACAAAACATAAAATGAAAAAAATAAATCATCAAATTACCTTTGTTGGCACATGACACATGGGGTAGTTGAGTTTGCACCGTTGCCATATTAACAAAGTTTCTCCAGGTTTTATGTGTCTAGACTTTATAGATAGATGAGAGTTCAGAGCTAATTTGAAGCACTAAAAAGTACTTGTTTTATACAGTAAGTTAAAAATTTATGAAAAATCACGAATTTTGAAGAAAAATTTTATCAAAAATTGCAGTTTTTTAGCTTATTTGCCTTATTATTGACATCGAACATGTATGTATTATTCACAAAACAATTATGGTATTGATATGAAAAGAGATATACGTTTCGAAACGTAGGCCGGGCGCGCCAATTTCCCCCCTTAGAGCACGCTTACGCAAAAGAGAGCGAGCGAAGCGAGCGCGCCCGGCCTACGTTTCGAAATTGGCGCGAATTTCTAAACGTAGGCCGGGCGCGCTCGCTTCGCTCGCTATCTTTTGCGTAAACGTGCTCTAAGGGGGGAAAATGGCGCGCCCGGCCTACGTTTCGAAATTCGCGTGAATTTCGAAACGTAGGCCGGGCGCGCTCGCTTCGGTCGCTATCTTTTGCGTAAACGTGCTCTAAGAGAGGAAAATGGCGCGCCCGACCTACGTTTCGAAATTCGCGCGAATTTCGAAACGTAGGCCGGGCGCGCTCGCTTCGGTCGCTATCTTTTGCGTAAATGTGCTCTAAGGGGGGAAAATGGCGCGCCCGGCCTACGTTTCGAAATTCGCGCGAATTTCGAAACGTAGGCCGGGCGCGCTCGCTTCGGTCGCTATCTTTTGCGTAAACGTGCTCTAAGGGGGGAAAATTTCGCGCCCGGCCTACGTTTCGAAATTCGCGCGAATTTCGAAACGTAGGCCGGGCGCGCTCGCTTCGCTCGCTATCTTTTGCGTAAGCGTGCTCTAAGGGGGGAAAATGGCGCGCCCGGCCTACGTTTCGAAACGTATATCTCTTTTCATATCAATACCATAATTGTTTTGTGAATAATACATACATGTTCGATGTCAATAATAAGGCAAATAAGCTAAAAAACTGCAATTTTTGATAAAATTTTTCTTCAAAATTCGTGATTTTTCATAAATTTTTAACTTACTGTATAAAACAAGTACTTTTTAGTGCTTCAAATTAGCTCTGAACTCTCATCTATCTATAAAGTCTAGACACATAAAACCTGGAGAAACTTTGTTAATATGGCAACGGTGCAAACTCAACTACCCCATGTGTCATGTGCCAACAAAGGTAATTTGATGATTTATTTTTTTCATTTTATGTTTTGTGGAAGTAAATGGTTAAACAGACAATGCATTTAATTTTAATATAAATTAAATTAGCAAATGCTAAATAATTTTCCATAGATATCTAATTTCAGTTAAAATGTAACAAAAGTAAGTTACTTCAATTATAATATCATTAAAACTTCGAAATTGTCACCTACATAATAGTATGATAAAACCAAAATAACCTATAAAATTACAACTTTTAATTCATTTTTCTCAAAATTTTGTGGATTTTCCGCAAATTTTTTTTTAGGTATTTACTATATAAAATGAGTACTTTTTATTGCAATAATTTTTTTCTTTTAATTCCGACACTCTTAATCTTATACGGACCCCATTTCTGCATTCGCGAAAGCCATTCTTAAAAACATTTTCTCCAATCTTCTGGTCGGTGTTTATTTCATTCTTAAAGGCGACACGGGCGGCTTCCGAGGGGGTACAGGGGACCATGCGTGGTTTTAAGATTACCTTACTTAATTTATTTAATTTAGTAAATAATGTGTTTCTTTAATTTGTAAAAAGCGCTTCCTTAGTAATAAACAATAATAGTACGAGTAAATATGAAGGTTATCAATAATGTAACGTGTACTTCAATAATTTATTTAATGTATTTTCTGTAAAATCTAAAACTATATGCATGGACGTAAATATAATAAAAATATATTTAAAATGAGGTATCACATGACCCTATTTTTCATTAGAAAATTTAAAGATAATAACTCCCTCTATATTACGTCTCAAGTGCAATTCGTTATAACAAAAATATATCTCTCTAATTTCACCTCGTTTTTGTTTCATGTACCTTATCTTCTTTCATTTGGAAGTTAAGAGGGGGGCCCAATTTACGTTATTACTGTATAATATTCCTTTTCATGGAATTTTTGATCAGGATGACGTTGAGGAGAAGGTAGAGTATTTTACGATTAACCCTTTTAGACACGAATTTTTAAAAACTAGAGAATAACCAAAAACAAATACGACACGTCATATCTTTGGATTCTTTGGTTATGTTATGTTGAGAATGGGGTGTTAATATACTGCGACCTAAAAGATCTACTGTGCCCCCTTCTGTCGCCACTGCACTAAGGAAATGTCTCAATGCCTATAGCGACCCTTCCAATCCTATTTTCTCAAGGAAGTGTAGGATTTAAAGTGGCTTCAAGTTAGGTAAGTCTCCCTCTTCTATTTGATATCCTCCTAGACATAGTGCCCTTGGATTCTGGAGTGCTACACATTCAGTTAGGATGTGAATGGAGGTTTCGTCCTCCTCCTCACATAATCTGCACTCACTATCCTCTACTACTCTCAGTTTACTTAGGTGTCCTTTTAGTCGGCAATGCCCGGTAAGGATCCCTGTTACAAAACGTAGCCTGTTCTTGCTCAGACAGATGCAGGCTTCCGATCTTTTCTGGTTATATTCACCCAGAAGCATCTTGGCCTGTCTCAGCCCCAAGAGATTGTTCCAATTATCGGTTCTTCTACTACCCAATTCTTTTCTCTTCTAATATTATGTTACTGCTGATACCGCAGAACGGCTCAGGTCCTACAAAGGGTGTTTGAGCCCCTTTCCTTGCAAGACTATCTGCAATCTCGTTACCCTGTACCCCGTTATGTCCCGGGACCCAATTGAGAGTAACTCTATTTTTCTCGCCTAGCTCATTCAATTGTTCTAGGCATCTCCAGACCATTTTTGAGCTGATTGCGTAAGAACTCAGCGCTTTGATGGCTGCTTGACTATCGGACATGATGATAAACTCTTGTCTATGATAGTTTCTCTCGATGTTAAACTGAATACACTTCTCGATGGCGTGAATTTCCGCCTGGAAGATGCTTGGGTATTTTCCCAAGCTTTCGGAGTGCTTGGTTCTCGGCCCATACACTCCTATTCCAGTTCCTTCTATGGTTTTGGAACCGTCCGTATACCACTGAATAGCACATCTTTCGGTTGCAAGCGCGATGGATTCTTGGTTCCATTCTTTCTTGCAGCCCAGCTCTGTGATTTTGAAGTTTTTAACAAAACTGTACTTCTTTTACATTTCATCCTGGGGCATCTCCCAGGTATCTTTAGTCCTGAAGTAAGTAGACTTTCGTCTGATTACTCCGTTCCTGATCAATCTATATCGTGTCCTTTTTGTCACATTCTCTATAATCAAATGTAGAGGGGTGAGGTTCAAGATCACCTCCATTGCGGCCGTAGGACAGGTTCTCATTGCACCAGTAATGCAAACACAGGCTAGTCTTTGTACTTTTGAGATTCTTTGGTTAGGTTTGGTTCACTTTTTCACCCTTAAAAATAAAAATGGAGGAAGAAATCATAATTTCACCAGTAGCCCCATCTAGAGTTTGGAGTCAATAGCATAAGAAATGTCATTTATTGTGGAACCTCTATATGCTTTGTGAATCAATTGCAATATTCCATTGACCCGTTAAGCTACAATTTGCAATATTATTTGTTACCTTTTTGATAAATGTTAATTTCAAAACACTTATAGAGATTTTTACTAGCTCAGTGAAATTTAATATCAAACGTTACTTACCTTTAAAAATAAAAAAAAAAATAAATGAGCACATCCTTTTCTCGGTCGTGAATTCGGCTTTTCAAATAGACAATTTTAAGGGTAGTAATCTTTCTAGGAAATGTTGGACACCAATAATTCTCTTTTTTATTTTTAAAAGCTAGTGAGAATTATAAATTCTAGCTTTATCAATAAAAAGAAGTTAATAAAAATTATACAGAATTTAGTGAATGAAAGAGAATTTTTTGTGACCTTTAAAAAATAAGATTCAACATATATACTTATAAAAATTAATGATTTTATTTAAAAAAGAAACCTTTTCGAAAACAAATTATTCACACTTATCAGGTATCAAATTGTGATTCGTACATAAATAATTCTAGTCACTAGTAATTACCACATTTTACTTTGTTAGCTAACCACTTCTAGATAGCCATAGGTAGTTGAGATTTCTGTCCCTCGGAAACCAACGCCTTTGTCGGTTAATCTTTCTTCTTATGAAGCTTCGAATTGTAGCTGTCGCTTTTTCAATCAAC